TTTGGTTTACAGAAAAAGAAGCCATGATGTAATAAAGATTGTCATTCTTAATAAGACCAATTTATTTGATTCTGCAGGAAGATGTGGAACAAAATATAAATCCAAAGGACTATTAATTTATCACTAAGAGAGATAACAGGAATGTTAGTATGTTCAATGTTCATCACTACCACCTACCCATACTCAAGAAAAAAATATATCTATTTGCAAGCAGTATCAAACACCATTGCCTAATTTAAAAATATTCTTGGACCTCTTATTGATCAATATCTCTTACAGAAACGGTGAGAGTATAGCATCTGAACTGAAACAGTACTATTAGAAAATGATACCGTGAGCATTAGGATGTATAATTCATGTTGCTTTCATTTGCTCAGACCATTGTAAAAATCCATAAATCATTTTCTTGTTCATGTATTGCTTAAGTGCAATTTGTCATTTTGCATTAGAGGGCTGCTTCAGCTCATCAGTGCTTTTAATTCACTGTCTAGAGTTTAACAAAATGCTGGCCCTGTCTGCTCACTTGGAAAGACACTGAAGCGTGAAGACACACCAATGTTAACTAGGTTAAACAAAACAGAGAACATTTCTACTTTGAATATCAAATAAAGCTTCATGGAATTGCTAGTATTCTCAGTCCCCCAAAACATGGGTTGGCTTATTCTCTGTTGGGTTCAGAGCCTTAGAACACAGTCACTAAAGAATTACCTGAAAGCTTACCATAGCATGGGCTGTATTTTCTCCCCCAGGAATCTCTAGCCCACATTCACTCTTTAGAATAAAAGTGAACACAGTCTGTGGCATTGGCTCCAGAGCTTTGCCTTCCCACTTCTGGTTAGGTTACCCTGCTACAAACACTCCTATTGCATGGCTACCCTTAGAGGATGCAATGCCGCCCAGGCAGGTACTTTGCTTTTGCTCTCTGCACCCTCCTTGCTGGAAATGACAAGTGCCCAGAACCATCTGGCTCAATCCTGGGCGAGCCTGGAGTCTGAAATACTCTTTATTGACAATTTTAATTTTTTGTCTTCCATTTCTTTAAAAAAAAAGTCTTCTCTCAAGGCTCTGGGCACACTGCAATAACAAGAGGATTTAGAAACAAATTGCTTTCAAGTCAAGTTAAGTCACTGCAAACACTCATTTATCCAAACGCTGGTTAACAAACGTGTCTCCCTCCCGCCTTTTCTAGAAAGGGTAGGGAAGACAGCAACCTGGTCACCTAGTTTCAGAGTTTGTAACTAGGCATGTAAAATGCATGTGTGGGATCCTTCCTGCCCCCCTATTTCTGCTGCACTTAGAGCCCAATGAAAGAGACCAAGGTGCCTCATCACTCTCATACACCAAGACTTTTATGAAAATTGATTTTGATATCCTCCCTCCAAATAATCACCACTTTCCCCTTCTGTTTTAGAACGCAATTTGTTTTGACCCAGATGGTTGGGCCTCCTGAAGGGGCCCCGGGGGCAGGGGGCAGGGGGCAGGGTTATGTTCCCTAGAGATTGCCTCTCCCTTTGCTGCCCAGGGATGGGGTGTCCAGGGACACAGTATTATATGAGATCCTGCACTTCAAAGGTCCGCAACCCACCACGGAGGCTATTTCTATGCTCATGGCCTCACTAAATTCTGGGTCCACCAAAGAGAGTGAAAAAGAAAAAGGGAGGGAGGAGGTCTGCATGATTGACACAGCAGGGAAGAGAAGAAACCAGTTACACTTAAGAGGCAAATTTAAAGTGTGGTTTTGCTTGGTGGGTGGCAGGGCGGGGCTGTTCAATGGTTTCAGGTTTCGGAGGTAAAGAAGGCTAAGGGCGCCCACTCTGTGAATCTTGGTCCCCAGCAAAATGCTCTTGCTATTGCCCTTGGCCGGAGTTACCCAGAGGGAGGCGGGCGACTCTAACAGAAGACCCCGTCGTCACCCCGCCGGTTCCGAGGGTGCCTCAGAGACTACAGGTCAGAGAGGCGAGGCCTCTGCGGGCCCCAAACCTGCGTGGCTCTCGTGGTCTCAGGCCTTTGTGACCCAAGAAATCCTGCAGAGCCCCCCACAGGCTAGCTAGCCCTTCCCCGAGAGAGAAGAGCTCCAAGCAAATTTCTCTGGCTTGCCCTATGCTACTTTCGCCGCTAGGAGGCGCTTGTAACCCACGTTTGCAGAGAGAGTCCCGGTTCAAACACATCTGCTACCAGAAAATAAAAAAAAATAAAAAGCGGTTCAAGCGTTACAGTGGCTGTAGTGCTTATTTACAGGCAAATCTGACCATCTCTCCACATCCTCCTCGCCACCTCAGGAAGCCCTTTGGCTCTCAGCGAACGCCCCAAGTCTGCTCAAACTTCACCTGCATTTGGAAAACAAAAACCTCTTCCCCAAATTCTGGATCTGCATTGTCATTCAACCGCAGGGCTCTCACACGCAAACACGCACGCACACGCGCGCACACATACAAGCGTGTCCACACGTACACAGGAAAACATGAGAAAATTACCGTCATTTTTTTTTAAATAAATGCTCCAGGATTCTGATGAGTCAGCTGGAAGAGCTCAAAACCTGTCATTCCAATCCTGCAGTTCTAACGAAAGCGAAGGGGTGGGGGTAAAAGTACAGCTGCAGTGCCATATTCGTATTCAGATAAACTATAATCCCCTTTTCATTGATCCACAGGTCCTTTTGCAAAGCGCCGCTCCGTTCTCAGTAGCAAGACGTGACGCTAAAATCATTTTAACTGCAGCGGTTTCCACTTGGCTTTGGCCAGTCATCAATTCACTGCAGCTGAAAAAGGATTAGCCATTTTTGCTGGCATCCTTTCCTAACCGCTCAAAGACAGGACCCAACACCACCAAAGAGCTGGGGGAGGGGGGCGGGAGAGGTGGGAAGGGGCAGCAGGCACGCACTCGCGGGACTGGTAGGGGCCTGGCTCCATCTGCAAGCAAGTCCGTGGACAATCGCCGTCCTTAATTCCCTGCCTGGCGGGAACGGCCACGAAGCTTGAGGTCGGGGAAACGAATCTCCTTTTCTTGCAGGTCGTGGCGGTGTTACTCTAGGGTCATTCATTACGAGGAAGCCACCAGGGACCCTCCTATCTCGTGGCTTATGAAGGAAACGGAACAGGGGCTGCTTTGGTGAATCAACACGCCCCCCCCCATCCCCCGCCGCCCATTACTTCACATAGAACTATGTTTTTAAAATATATTGGTTGGAGAATTGGCATGCAGTCCTCTCTCCAGCATGGATGAGTTCGCGCTGTATTCTAACTTCACAGGAGCTGGGCGTGTGGACGCGCCGCTCTGCCCCCGCTCCTGGCGAGCGGGCACTCGGAGCTGGCCAAGCGCATCCTTTGGGAC